GAAAGTATGAGCACACAAGAGAATGGATGAGGGCGAGAGACGAGAGGGAACAGGGCAGCGAGAGGCATGGGGAGAAGAGATGAGAGTCTTGAGAATAGAAAAGATTGTGCATCTCTAAACACACACACACACACACACACACACACACACACACACACACACACACACACACACACACACACACACACACGTACATTTGCCAAAGACGCCGGACACTTCAAACTCGACCGTGTTTGGGACGCTGGCACCGGCATCATTGCTGCTGCCACGCTGGGCTCTGCCATGTGACGACGACGACGATGAGGAGGAGGACGCATGTGTGTCGAGCCCGTGTTTGTACCGCATGTCAAGGCGACGCTGATCGCGCCGCTCCCGCTCCACTTCGTGCTTCACACGGAGCTTGGCATTTGTGTCTTCCTGCAGATCCAGAGGTGCGGTGCAACAGGGAATGGGACAGGGGTTGGAAGGCGGATGGATGATGACATGAGCTGCGCCTGCTGCATGAGCGATGATCCATGGTGCATCCACGCGCACGCACAAACACACCATCACACACATACACACACATACACACACATACATATCCACACATACACACACATACACACACACATACACACACACGCGCAATGCGCACCAGTTGGCGGCCCACAGACTCTGCTTTGCGGGTTGCCTTGGCCTCGTTCTTGTCCGAGACGAGGTCGTCAATCTCCTGCTCTGCCTTGCGCACCGCAAACGCGCCGCCGAGGAACGCGCCCAAGCCTGCGATCAACCCTGCCATGGCTTGTTTGTTGTCGCTGTTGTTGTCGTTGTCGTCGCGATTGTCTTCGGCTGTATCTTCTTGCTGTTGATGACTGTCATGACCTGAAATGTGTTGCGTGTTCGTGCCAACCTTTGTCACACCTCTTCCTGCCCCTGCCCCCTACCCCTGCTCCCAACACCCAACTCCTTTGACCCTTGCTCCATACGCAAGCCGTTTAAAGGGGACACACAGACACACAGACACACAGACGCCACAACGACAGCTCGAGGGGAGACAAGAGGCTGTGCATTCACTCTGCAACGAACAGGGGCCCGGAGGTGTGTGTGTGTGTGTGTGTGTGTGTGTGTGTGTGTGTGTGTGTGTGTGTGTGTGCCTCAGCACACTGCAAGGAGACGAGGAAAAGGTGCACAGGAGAGACGAGGAAGAACACCGAAGAGAGACAGAGACAGAGAGACAGAGACAGAGACAGAGACAGAGACAGAGACAGAGAGAGAGACAGAGAGAGCGCACACACATGCACACACACATGCACACACACACACACACATGCACACACACGCACATGCACACACACACATATACACGCACATGAGCACCTGCCTCCCCACATATCATGTCACGTCACGCCACACTACATCACGACGACATTACGACGCCTCGGCCTCCTTCTTCTTGCGCTGTTCCTCCAACCACAGGCGCCGTTCCTCCTCCTGTCTCCTCTCTTCTTCCTCCTCCGCCTCACGCATGAGCCGCATCTCTTCCTCGGGGTCCCACTCGTCGCCCTCGCTCATCGCGCCATCGTCTTCCAATACAGTGTCCTGCAGGCCCCTCACGCTTTCCTGCCGCTGCAGTCTCGCTTGTCGCTCGGCGAGGAAGGCAAGACGCTCCTCCTCCTGGCGTCGCTCTTCCTCTTCCTCCATCTCCCGCAGCAGTCGCACGTCCTCGTCCTCCTCAAGGTCAACCTGCACCCCACCCCAGACGAATGCAGGCTATGAGTGTGCTTCGTTTGCATTCACGTGGCTGCTGCTGAGGAGGAAGTCAGAGGAACACGCACGCAAGTACACGCACATGGGACACGCACACAACATGTGCAGAAACACACACACGCACGCACGCACGCACGCACGCACGCACGCACGCACGCACGCACGCACAACATGTGCAGAAACACACACAGGCACACGCACACACACACACACACGCAGAAGAAAAGACAAACGCGCACACCTCTGGCTGCTGGTCCTCTGAGCTGTGTTGGAAGCGACGTTGAAGGGCTTGCCATCGAGCCCGATCAATGGCGTCGCCGTCCAATTCTTCACCACCTGTGCGGTCTGGTGTGGGTAATCAAGCATACGCACGCACGAACGAACGACGGCGTGAGTGCAAGAGGCTTTGTTTGGGGCACGTGCAAACAAGAAGGGTGGACGCAATCGCAAGTCTGCAAACACACAACTACACGAACGCACCCAGGCAACAAATAAACACCCAACGCACACACACCCACTCGCACAGCCAAAGCAACACATGCACTCGACGTACTGGCACGTTGTGCCACGGAGCTTTCGTCATTCTCCAATCGGTCCAACAGCTCTGGGGTCAGCTTTGCTGCCTGTGCTTCATCCTCAGCCTGAGCGTGCTGTTGTTGGTGGTGTTGCTGCTGCTGCTGCTGTCGCTGTACGCTTCCAGCGTCGCTCGGGGCGCGGCTGTCTTTGCCGTGCTCCTTGTATGACTTTGCCGCGTTCTTGAGCGCCACAACCCAGCCCGTGCTGCTGTGCTGGTCGTGCGTCTCGCCCTGCAGCTTCATGGTGCGCGCCACGGTAGCAGCCCCGTGCTTGTGGTACGTGGTAACGGTGAACGCGCCCAACTTCCGCGTCGGCATCACCACGGCATCCCGCAGTGAGATCCAGCCTTTGCATGTGCGGCCTTCGTAATACTCCAGCCTGCTCTCGTACGTCTTTGGGTTCTGCTTGAGCGCAAACCAGCGCAGCTTCGTGGACGGAATCAGCCCCTTTGCCAGCTTGGTCTTCTGCAAGTACCCTTCCTTCAGCGTCAGCCACCCACACGTCTCATACGGAGACTGCAGGTTCCCCGGCTTGGCCCTATCGCTCATATTGCTGCTCGTGGCGTGTGGTATGTTGTGGTCGTGAGGGCTGTCTGGTTGTGTGTGTGAGTGATAAGCGATGATGCCAAAGGCAAATTTGTCTTTGTTCAGAGCGCAATTTTGCCTTTGGAGGACAGCCCCCGAAAACAACAAACAAACAGCGAAGATGGCAGTGAGTGTTGTGTGTGTGTGTGTGTGTGTGTGTGTGTGTGTGTGTGTGTGTTGTGTTGTGTGGTTGTGTTGTGTTGTGTTGTGTGTGTGTGTGTGTGTGTCTGTCTGTCTGTCTGTCTGTCTATCTGTCTGTCTGTCTGTCTGTCTGTCTGTCTGTCTGTCTGTCTGTCTGTCTGTCTGTCTGTGTTGTGTTGTGTGGTTGTGTGTCTGTCTGTCTGTGAGACAAGTGGCGACACCATCCAGACACATCCACATGCACACACACATGCACACACACACATGTACAACGCACATATTGAAACCCGGTCCACCCACAACTCACGTGTGGCAGGGGATCAAGTACTGCAACTGGACGGGAGCAACACCCAGGATCGCCAGCGTGCTCACACCTCTCAATGACAAGAACCTAAGGCTCGCCGCTCAGATCGGCGTCACAGGTGTGTACGTATGTGTAGATGAGTGTGTGTGTGTGTAGAAGTGTGCGTGTGTGTAAGCGGTCGTGAAATGGTATCTGTATGCCGAGTTCGATCCACGCGATCCTTTCTCTCTCACACGCACACACACTCATGTACACATACACACACACGCAATCCACGCGGGCCAGATGTCGTCTACTATGACATGGACGCCATGCCAGACACAGTGGAGGAACTCGTAGCGTTGCGACAGCAATGCGAAGCATACAACTTGCGTCTCTCCGCCATCGAGGTAGAATGTGTGTATGTGTGTGTGCGCGCGCGTGTTAGATTGCTTGTGGCATATGTGTCTCACAAACACTGTGCGAGTGCCGCCCCCCAACCCAAGTCTCACACACACGCACACACACACACACACACACACACACACACACACACACACACACACACACACACACATATCACACATCACACGTATGTATTCCTGCAGGGCGGCCCGCCCATGGACTTGATTGTGCAAGGAAAGCCTGGACGAGATGAGCAGCTGGAACACTTCAAAAAGTGCATCCGTGCCATGGGTGAAGCCCAAATCCCGATTCTCTGTGCGTCGCAACACACACACACACACACACACACACACACACACACACACACACACACACACACACACACACACATACATACATACATACATACACACACACACACATGAACGCGCTTTGCATTGCGCGCATGGTTTGCATGCCCTGCCATCCACGCCAGCACTCCAGCGTCATCGCCAAACTCAAATGTCCCACGCAACCTCGCGCCACTGCGCTCACTCACTCAACCCACGCACACACACACACACGCGCGCGCGCATGTCCGCCCTGACCCTCACGTGCATGCGCATGATGGAGTGCAGGCTACAACTTCATGCCGTGGTCGTTTCGCGTGGGACGCACGTCATACGAGGTGCCGATTCGTGGCGGTGCGCTGTCGAGCGAGTGGAAGTGGTCAGACTTTGACGACAGTGTGCGCACGGCGGAAGGCGAGACAACCCACGAGGACATGTGGGCCAACTTTGAATACTTTCTCAAGGCTGTAGTCCCCGTCGCAGAGGCCGCGGGCGTGTACTTGGCGTGCCACCCAGGTGTCTTGTATGTCTCGCGTTCAGCAGCGTGCGCTTGTGTGTGTGTGTGTGTGTGTGTGTGTGTGTGTGTGTGTGTGCTGCAGTGCATGTGTTTGCGCCGTGTACTACTACCCGCAATCCGCACAGATACCCACACACTCACACACACACACACACACACACACATTCAAACTCACACACTCACTCACCCACACGCTCACCCACTCCCTCATGTGCAGATGATCCGCCGTTCCCACGCATCCGGGGACTGGCGCGCATCATGACGACGCCCGACGCATTTGAGCGCATGTGCTCCATCGTGGACAGCCCGCACAACGGCATCACCTTCTGCCAGGGCTGCTTCAGTGAGATGGGCGTGGATATCCCAGACACCATCAAGCGGCTCGGCCACCGCGTGCACTTTGTGCACTTCCGCGACGTCAAGGGCAATGCACAGGACGGGTTTGTGGAGACGTTTCAGGACGACGGCCAGACGGATATGCACGCGGCGCTGGCTGCCTGGCGCGACGTTGGCTTCAACGGCATCATTCGCCCCGACCACGTGCCGCTGCTGCCAGACTTTGAGCACGCGCACGCCGACGAGGAGAAGGCGAGAGGGTACACCTCGGGCAAGGCGTCTGGGTACACGATGGTGGGGCGCATCTTTGCTGTGGGATACATGCGCGCGCTGTTCCAGGCCGTCTTTGGGAAGGAGCGTGGAAGCCACAGTCAGCAGGCCCTCCGCCCTGACACATGACACCCGGAATGTGTGTGTGTGTGTGTGTGTGTGTGTGTGTGTGTGTGTGTGTGTGTGTGTGTGTGTGTGTGGCATCTCGCTTTTGCTCGGGCGTGTGCTTTCTCGCTCCTTCCAAGAGCCCATTGTCTCCACCCCCTCCCCCCAATTCTCTGCAAATTGGCATCCTGTTAGAGCCGTTGCCAGTGGACGCCTTGCTGGCTTGTTGGATGCTTGCACGCACCATGCGCGGTGGTTGTGTATTTGACCCTTGGAAACCAAAACCCAAAGCAAGTCAAGCAGTTGTTCTGTAGTTCACGGTACCCAATAAGAAGCTTTTAACTCTCAATCAAACAAGCATGACGCTGTTAGCTGCAGTAAAGCCTGACAGGGCAATTGTGCTTGTGTGTATGTAAGCAAGCAACAACCTGCCATGCACACACCACACACACCACACACACACACACACACACAAACACACACACGCACACGAACTAACTATCAAACCACACACATGCGCGTGTGTTCTTAGGTTTGGCGCGTGAGGTTGCGGCGAATGGTGAGCTGAACAGTGGTGTCGGCGATGGTGATGGGCAACGGGCCGAGCGGAGCGTGGAACACGCCACTGCGGTCAGATGTGCACAGCAGGCGAAAGAGGTGGCGATGCACACCCTCAAACACAGCGTGGGCGGCTGTTGGAGACGGCAGGATGCGGTGCGGGTCTGGCATCATCGTGTAGATGGCGTTGACTTTGCACGGCTGTCGAGCGTTTCTGGTTGCCTGCCACCACAGGCCGGTTGTGCTCCCGCGTGCCGTCTGCTTTGCTGGCGACACGCTCGGCCCACCATCACCACCATCACCACCATCATCGCCATCTTGTTGCACGTACTCGCATGCACGGGAGACAAACGCCACATCCAGCAAATCCTCTGCACTGCCGCGCCGTCGCTGTCGTCTCTGTTGTGGTTGTTGGTGTTGACTTTGTTTACGCGCATCACGCTGGTGTTGCTGCTGCTGCTGCTGTTGCTGCTGCTGCTGCTGCTGTTGTTGGTGGTGGTGTTGCTGTTGTGGGCGCTCCTGTGAAGCGGAGAGCCTGCTGCAGACGTATGGGGCCGGTTGCAGGTCGTGTTCGGGTCGAGATGGATCAGCAGCGTCAGGGCCGATGACGGGAACGCGGAGACCGAGCCGGGCAATGGTGGCGTCCAGCTGCATGGACACCCCCGATGGGATGTGGCCCTGTCGCTCCACCGCCAAAACAACGGCGCGCGTGGCCTCGGCAGGGCGGATGCTCGGCGTACACCGCTGTGACCCCGGCCACACGGTTGCATCAGCGGGGGCAGTGGCAACCGGTGACTCTGGCGCGCCTTTCCCTTTCTTCTCGGGCTTCTTCTTGTCCTTCTTCTCGGGCTTCTTCTTGTCGCCCTCCTTCGTGTGGCCCCTCCTTGCGGGCTTCTTGGTCGAGCACGGCATCTGGTAAGGGAGGGCCTCCGCGCCGCCAAAGAAGCGCACAGCAAAGTGGGCCTTGCGCTTGGGCTTGGTGCCGTCCTGCCGCTGGCGGTTGAAGGTGTGGAATGGGGCGTCGGCGTTGGCAGCGCACGTGCCGAGCATCCACAGGACGATGGTGGCCGGGCTTGCGAGCGCCTTGTCAATCGTGTGCATGAGCGTGCGCCAGGTGACGATGTTGCTTGGATCGCTGCCTATGCTCCAGCCTTGCCTGTGCGCGTAGCCCGTGAAGAGGATCTGGCGCCCGCCGTACTCCACAAAGTCGGCGAGGGCGTCCAAGACGGTGTCGCGCGTGAGCGGCTCCCGCTTATCTGGGGGAGCCCATGCCACGCCACCCCACTGCACAGCCTCCTGTGTTTCTTGCAAGATGTAGCTTGCACGCGCCTGGGCACGTTGCCCGGCCTCGCCCGGGATCACCAGCGTCATCGTCCAAGACCGAACTATGTGTGTGTGTGTGTGTGTGTGTGTGTGTGTGTGTGTGTGTGTGTGTGTGTGCGTGTGTGCGTGTGTATGTGTGTGTGTTTGGGGGGGGTGTCTGCCTGCCTTCCCGCCCGCCTGCCTATGCGACCTCCACTGTTGTCTGAGGTTTCCTGTGTGATGTGTGATCGCGTGTGTGTGTGCGCGGAGAGTGGACGATCGAACTCGCTGCGCGCTCGCTTGGCTTGCTTCGTTGTTGTTGGTTGGTCGATTATGGGCGCTGCTTGGCAACAGCAGCAAAACGCTTGCTTGACGGTTACACAGCACCTCAGGCAAAACAAAGCAAGAGAGATGGGGGAACAGGGGAAGAGGAGAAGAGAGGAGAGGGGGAGATGAAGAGCTGTGTAGCAACAGACAAGTGCTGCTGCTGCTGCTGTGGTGTGCTATGCAGCGTTTGCTTGGCCAGCAAGCAGGGCGTCCTTGGCCTGCAGCACGCGCTTGAAGGCGTCGTCGCTGCCTGGCGCCTGGTTCTTGTCGGGGTGGATCTTGCCCGCGAGCGCTCGGAACGCGCGCTGCACCTCTGCCGCGTCGCTGCCGGCGCCGATGCCGAGGGCCCCGTGGTCGCTCTTTGCAGCAAGCACGCGCGTGACGGCGTCCAGGTCGTCCTTGGTGAACCGCGGCGTGACCGTGTTCACGTTGGCCGGCACGTCCGCCATGCCCGCGACGCTGAGCGCAGCCGCAAACAGCGCGTGGAACGCTTCCGCGACGTTGTTCCCCGTCTGCGCGGACGTCTCGAAGAGGCGGTAGCCGTGGCTCTCCGCCCATAGCTGCGCCTCGCCCAGCGAGACGGCCCGCTGCGAGGGCGGGATCGGCTGCGCCGTGGTCCGCTTCCCCTCGCGCGTGGCAGGCTGCGATGCCGGCTCCACGTCCACCTTGTTCGCGCACACGACGACGCAGCACTGCTGCATGGCTGCCTGGCCCATCTCGTTGCTCATCTCCTCCAGCCAGTCGTTGAGGCGTTCGAAGGTGCGACGCTTGTTCACGTCAAACACAAGCAAGATCCCCTGCGTGTACTCGTAGAACTCGTTCCTCACAGAGTAGTACACGTCATCGCCAGAGGTGTCGAAGAAGTTGACGCGCACCAGCGCGTCGCCACTAGCCGCGCTGCTACTGCTGCTACTGCTGCTACTGCTGCCTGCTGTGGTGCCGCTGGCGCTTGTGCTCTGCCTGCGCTGTGCGCTGCCGGAGGCTGCTTGCTCTGCTGGTTGCCACACGGTGATGCCGTAGTCGATGCCGATGGTGGGCAGGTATTTGCTGACAAACCTGCGCTCGCAGTACCGCTTGATCAGGCAGCTCTTGCCCACCCCAGTGCACCCCAACGTCAGGACCTTGATTCGCCGTGTCTGCGGCGTCTTCGGAAACACGGGTCTTCGCCTCACCCGCTCCATCCTGTTGGTTTGTCACTGCTTGGGGGGGGGGGCTTTGTGCTTGGCTGGTTATAGTGAGATGTGAGACAACAATGTGGCTTTCTTGTTCTTGTTGTTGGTTGTTGTTTATGCTGCGTTCCATTAACATACATGTACACATAATGTTGCCTCGGATGCCATTGACAGCGCATAATACACAAGCGCCTCCCCCATGCATGCGAACACCGACGTGCTGCGGCCACCTCACATGAACCCGAAGATGGCGTCAATCTCATCGGCATCACCGCCACCACCACCACCATCATCACCACCACCGCCACCACCACCACCATTAGCACCACCGCCACCACGACCGCCGTTGTTGCCATTGCTTTGCTCCTCGGCGTCGCTGTCCACCGTGTTGAGCGGGACTACCTTTGCTCGCTTTCGTGGCTGCTGGTCTGCCCCCTCATCCTGCCGGTCCTCACGCTCAACCAACGCATCCCCCGGCGCACGCCCTGCAGCTGTAGGTGCGGCAGCATCGCTTGCTGCCGTTGGCACTGATGGTGTCGCTGCGTGTGCCGGCATGTCTTCTTCGTCCTCCGTTTCTGACAGCACCGCAGCCGCAGGCGTATCACTGTGTGTGTATGTGTGTGTGTGTGTGTGTGTGTGTGTGTGTCCGTGTGTGTGTGTGTGTGCGTGTGTGTGTGTGTGTGTGTTGTGACGAGGGATTGTGAGAACAGAGGAGTGCTTGAAGGAAAGGGAGAAGTATCCAAACGAATGAACGAACGAACGAACCCAGCATACACGCGCTCACTCACTCACTCACTCACACAACATACACGCGCTCACTCGCTCACTCACACACTCACTCACACACTCTCTCTCGCACACTCACTCACACACTTACTCACACACACACACACGCACACACACACCACAGGCACACACACATACATAGCGTGAACGTACACAAGGGCAGCAGCAGAGACGCTGGGTGTGATGGCTTTGGCAAACGCAGCGAGAGCGCGCTGAATGTGCTCGAGGGTAAACGCAGTAAACTTGCACATGCTCCACGTGCGGCTGGCGTTGGAGAGCACCACGAGGTGAAACGGCATGAACAGGCCCTTCTCTAGCTGCACCTTACACTCTGCAGCGGCGCGTTCGCTCACCACCTCTGCTTGCTGCAACAGGCCTTGCAGCGTAGCCATCTCTTGTTCCATGGCGAGTGTGGGAAACACGGTGCTGGTGCTGGTGCTGCCCTCGCCTTCGGGGTTAGCGATGGCGGGTTTGCTTGTTCTCGTGATACTCATGCTGCGCTTCTGTCTCCGCGCCTCTTTTCCCACCTCAAGATACCGCTGGGGCAGCTCTGTGGGCTCCAGCTCCTGTAGAATTGACAAGCATGTGCGTGAAGGTGTGTGTGTGAATGTGTGCGTGTGAAGGTGTGAGTGTGAGTGCGTGCGTGGGTGTGGGTGTGAGTGGGTGTGTGGGTGTGAGTGAGTGTGAGTGAGTGTGAGTGCGTGCGTGGGTGTGAGTGGGTGTGGGTGTGAGTGGGTGTGTGTGAAGGTGTGAGTGTGAAGGTGTGTGTGTGGGTGCGTGCGTGGGTGTGGGTGAGTGAGTGTGAGTGTGTGTGTGTGTGTGTGTGTGTGTGTGGTAATGCGCGTTCATGTGCAGGTGCACGAGTCAACCACGCCCCATGTTGCAATGTATACAAAGAAACACAGGGTTATGAGCGCATATGTCTACGCACATCGATGCGGGCGGCAATCTTGCGCAGCTTGCGCAGCAGCTGGAAGGACCGCTCCCGTTTCAACTGGTTTGAATACTTGTACACTAGCCGATCCATCAAGAACATCTATGGCGAATGCGTGTGTGTGTGTGCATGTATGTGTGTGTGTGTGTGTGTGTGCATGTGTGTGCGTGCGTGTGTGAGGACGATTGTGGCTGATAGCCGACAAGCACAAGCATCACCACCCCCAAGCACAACCCACACGCCACACACACACGCACCCACACGCCAGACGCACACACACACACACACACACACACACACACACACACACACACACACACACCTCGGCGTGTAATTTGACATTTTTCATGTGGCGCTGTGCCGTCTTGAGACGAGCCTGGCACCGCTTCCATGATTCCAAGCCGCCACCACCGCCACCGTCCCCATCCCCGCCATCGCCAGCAGCCGCCTGACTCTTGCTTTGCTGCCTTTTCTTCTTCTTTGCCATCGTGCCCGGTGACGAGATGACTGAATTCAGGCGCAGACCCACAACATTCGCTCGTATCGCGAATTTTCCTACTTGCATCAGTCGCCCAAATCACGCGATTCTTTGTGCATGTTTCCAACAACTCTTCGGCACGGTCGTGTGTAAGGTTGGTGTCGCGCTCGCCACACACCCTCGCCACTCACACGCACAAACACACACAAGGCAAGACGCAAGACGCAAGACCAGCAGCAGACAACAAGCCCCCATCCATATCCAGCAGCACACCAGCCAACCAGCCCGCCAACCAAAAGAGAGTGTTGAGTGCAGAAGAAGAAGAGACAGAAGCACGCAAGAAAAAAGCAGGCATACACCCTATCCTTGTTTCTGGGGTGTTTGGTTGTTTTTTGTCTGGCCTTTTGGCTTTGTGTGTGTGTGTGTGTGTGTGTGTGCGTTGGCTTCGTGTCTGCTTTGAGCCATCCTTTAGCCAAACAGGTGAGAACAGGGGAATGTGCGGTCGTGCGGTCGTGCGGTCGTTGGGTGGCACATCGTGGAGGAGTTGTGTGTTGGGGTGATGATCACATCAAGCAGGGGCAGGGGGGATGCACGATTTGCGCTGCTCTTGTGCGTTGCACTTTGCCTTGGGGATTGCCGTAATTGATGGCATGCCATGCCCTTCACGTACCACCACCACCACACCACACAACACAACACCACGCGCTTCATATCGCCGGATCACGTGCTCACCTTCCCCCCCCCCCACCACCACAACTTGCCCATCATTTTCCATTCCTTGTGCTGTGCTGTGGTTGAATGTGCAGAATCCCCCCCCCCTCTCATAGCTGGGCCTAGGTCTTCAGTCTCCCCATCTTTCCACACAACTGCTCATTGAACACATAGCCCGTGTGAAGCTGGTACGAACACCACCGCCACTGGTACCCTACATCAGACATCCACAACAGCACATATCCACAACAGCACATATCCGCAACAGCAGACATCAGTCATGTCGACCCCGCAAGACATGGATGTTGAGATTCTGGTGATTGGCGCTGGCCCCACGGGCCTTGGCGCCGCCACCCGCCTGCACCAACACAACCACCCGAGCTGGATGGTGGTGGACGGGTTCAGCCAACCGGGCGGCCTGGCCCGCTCCGAGCGCACGCGCGAGGGCTTCCTCTTTGACCTGGGTGGTCACGTCATCTTCAGCCACTACAAGTACTTTGACCAGCTGCTCGAGCACGCCGTTGGCAAAGGCGACGACGCCTGGTCCACTATTGAGCGTGTCTCCTTTGTCTGGATCAAGGACCGCTACGTGCCGTACCCGTTCCAGAACAACCTCAGCGTCCTGGATGTTGAGGACCAGATCTTCTGCCTGGAGGGCCTCATTGACGCCAACATGCGCGCCTCCTCCAGCCACGGCCGTCAGCCCAGCAACTTTGACGAGTGGATGGTCCACGTCATGGGTGAGCCGTTTTGTCTGTGTTTGGAGCGGGTTTCTGTGTGTGTGTGTGTGTGTGTGTGTGTGTGTGTGTGTGTGTGTGTTTGTATGTGTGTGGGCATGTGAAGGGCTTTGTACTCGCTGGTCTATCCATCGTCCATGTGTGTGTGTGTGTGTGCTGCTCGCGCTTGTTTCCGCTCCTCAGCTCGTGCATCATCTTGTCGCCTTACACGTCATCTCACAATGGCTTCTTGTTGATTCCCCCTCCCCTTTTCTTTCTCCCGTCCCCTTCTGCCAACGAACCCCCTTCTTTCTTTTCATTCACCTGTATATGTGTGTGTGTGTGTGTGTGTGTGTGTGTGTGTGTGTGTGTGGGGTAGGCGAGGGTGTGACATCCATGTTCATGCGCCCATACAACTTCAAGGTGTGGGCCATTCCGCCCACGAACATGCAGTGGGAGTGGCTCGGTGACCGCACGCAGCCCATCGACCTCAAGGCCTCCATGAAGAACGTCCTCCGCGGCCGCCGTGCCCCAGCACCAAAAGCCAGCTTCCGCTTCCCACAGGTGTGATATCCGCTGCAATGCGGTGTCGAGTGGCTGTGGTGTCGTGTCGAGATGTGTTGTTCTTGTGGTGTCGTGTCGAGGTGTGTTGTCAATGTGATGCCGTATCGAGACGTGTGTTGTTCTTGTGGTGTGGTGTGGTGTGTTGTGTGCTCTTTGTTGACCCAATCCCTCGGACAATCCTCTCAACAGCCAACCGACTCACATTCCTGCTCTCCCACCCCGCTTCCACTCCCAAACACACTGTTGCCTCAATACCCGGTATCGCGTGACAGCACGGCGGGACGGGGTCCATCTGGAGCTCGATTGCGCAGCTGCTGCCCCAGGAGCGCATCCACTACCGCGGCAAGGTGGTTGGCCTTGACCTTGAGGGCAAGCACGTCACGCTGCAGGACGGCACGCGCATCCGCTACCAGGCGTGCATCAGCACCATGCCGCTCGACTACACGCTGCGCCTCATTGGCGAGGAGGAGATGGCGGGCAAGCTGTTTTACTCGTCCTCGCACGTCATTGGCATTGGCCTGCGCGGCAAGATCCCGCACGGCCGCAAGTGCTGGCTGTACTACCCGGAGAGCAACTGCCCCTTTTACCGCTGCACGTGCTTCTCCACGTACGCCAAGTCCAACTGCCCGCCCGCGGAGACGAAGCTGCCCACCATCCGCGTGGCAGGCGACCCCTCGCAGCCGCCGAGCGAGCCCAAGGGCGGGCCGTACTGGTCGCTCATGTTTGAGGTGAGCGAGAGCCCGCTGAAGAAGGTGAACAAGGACACGATTGTGGAGGAGACCATCCAGGGCGCGCTCAACGTGCACCTGATCCGGCCCGAGGACGAGATTGTGAGCGTGTACCACCGCCGCCTGCCGCACGGCTACCCGACGCCAACCATCATCCGCGACCAGGTCCTGCGCGAGACGCTGCCGCTGCTCAAGTCCAAGGGCTTCTGGAGCCGCGGTCGCTTTGGCAGCTACAAGTACGAGGTGGCCAACCAGGACCACTCGCTCATGATGGGCGTGGAGGCCGTCGACAACATTCTCTTTGGCGCCACGGAGGTGACGCTCGAGCACCCAAAGCTCGTTGCGCAGAGCAAGAACACAGACCTGACATACACGCCGCCGCCGCCGCCAGCGCCGGTCGCTGACGAGATGGCGATGGACGCGGACGCGGTGTCGCAGGGGCAGCAGTCAGACGAGCAGGTGACGAAGAAGCCCAAGGCAGCGGGCACGCAGCCGCCAACGGCAGCGGCGCAGGATGCTGCCAAGGTCAAGTCTGAGAGCAAGCCCATGGCGGCCTCTGGTGACGACTCGGCCACAAACCAGGCCATGGAGGTGTAACAACATCACCCCTGGCCGCCGGTCACCAACTGCTCTTGTTTCGCTGGTATCTGTTTGTGTTGTTTGCTGGCTGTTTTGTGTGTGTGTGTGTGTGTGTGTGTGTGTGTGTTTGTGTGTTTGTGTGCTTGGTGTCTCTTGTTCATGTTGTACGTTGTACGTTGTATGTTGTCACTGTTGTATGTTGTATGTTGTATGTTGGACGTTGTCTCTTGTTGTTGGTTGTTGTGGTTGTGACACGACCATGGAGTGGCGCGGGAGTGGCAATCCCTTTGACCAGTCGCTGTGGATCCTGTATTCATCCACGCTGTTGTTGATAGAGTGTGCGCCCGACAGTAACTGGTGCACACAGCTGGCTCAATTATGGGATGTTGCCCGCCCTCTCCTTCTCCTCCTTTTGTTCGTCCCTTGGCTTCTTTCGTGTCACTTGCTGTTCTCTCTCTCTCTCTCTCTCTCTCTCTCTCTCTCTCTCTCTCTCTCTCTTTCTCTCTCTTTCTCACACTTTTCCCTGGCTGTTCGCGTGTTGGGCTCGTCTCCACCCACCTCATTTCATTCTGCACGTTAACTGGAGCATTACGCGACACTCCTGCTGATGTTGCTTTCTTCTTCTGGTCTTCCCTTGCTTACAGCACTGTTTCCTTCGGTTGCTTCTGTGTTGTTGTTGTTGTTGTTGTTGTTGTTGTTGTTGTTGTTGTTGTTGTTGTCTGTGGAGATGTCACACGTCACCGTGTCGTTGTCATTGCTTCGTATTTTCTGTCTGCTCTGCTTCTCGCAATCCTGTCATCACACGCTATGTGTGCATGCGCGTGTGGTTATCTGCTTCTTTGTGACTGTTGCTTCCTTGTTTGTGCGTGTGCTGTGATGTTGTGTTGTGAATGTGCTGTCACATCACACGATCACCATTAGAACGAGAGGCAGGTATCATCACGGACGTGAGAGGAGGCAAAGTTGCGTCCGACCGCACCACATGCAAGCAAGCTCGTTTTTTTTGTGGTGTTGCGAGCCGTGGATTACGTCATCGTGGGTGTTGGATGCGGCAAACCAAGCGCGCACTGTTGGTGGTGGTGGTTGCGGCCGTGGTAGCTGTTGCGTTCGTGTTGGGTGTGCGGCAGGCCTTGTTTCCAGAAGAGAACAACAGTGCGGCACCAGCAGTGGCATCACTTCCCATCATTCGTCGCAGTCGTGGTATGCTATGCTATTGTGTGTGTGTGTGTGTGTGTGTGTGTGTGTGTGTGTGTGTGTGTGTGTGTGTGTGTGTGTGTGTGTGTGTGTCGTGTCTGTGTCGTCGTCGTCGTGTGTACGTGTGTGTGTGTGTGTGTGTGTGTGTGT